AGACAATTTACGAACCTTCCCGGAAATTTCATCCCCCCCTCAATAATTTCCGGTTCGAGTGTTTGATATGAATCCCCCCATCCGTCTCTTTCCTTGTTTGCGATCCGTTTTTATTTTCTTTCTTGTTATTCTCCTTCTTCTTCTGATTATCATTTGGTTATTTATATATAGCTAGAGAGGTGGCATATATTAGCCCAGACGCACATGAATATTGAAACGACATCGTACACATTCTAAGTTGGTACCGCCGAATCAGAGAATTGTTACGGTCCGGAGGAGGTTGGGGTGGGGGGGCTTCGGTTCTGTTTCTGTTCTGTGCCTGCAAATCGCAGCTACCTAGCGAGCACCACAACCCCTCTCTCCCTTAATTAATTAGTTGGATTTGAAGAAGGTGCTTAGCAAGTGCTCCAAAGCGTCCGTCCGCCTGGATTAGCAGCGGCAGCATGTCTTCAAACTCAGCAGCGCGGCAGCAGCGAGCGGATGGAGGAGTGGGTGAAGATCAGCAACAACAATCAGCGTGAGCGTGAGCCTGATCAAGGGGTGGCAGCGGCGGCGGCGGGCCGCAGGGAAGGATCAGGTGCGCCACCACCACCACGGACGCACCGCCCACAACATGTCGTCGTCGTCTCTGAGAAAGAAGTCGGATCTGACCCTCGTGTCCAAGGTCCGGTGCGGGCTCCTCAGGAGCTTCCTGGCCAACCTGCAGGAGATCTTCCTCGGCACCAAGCTCTTCATCCTCTTCCCCGCCGTCCCCCTCGCAGTCGTTGCTCACTCCTTCAACTTTGGACGCGTATGCCCCCCTTCAATTAATCTTAATTTAGAATTTTTAATCCAATTGACTTCCGTCTACAGCCTGCCCGGCCTCCGCTTACATGTATATCCCTCCACGGCGCTGCCTTCCCTCATTCCATACTAATTAATTAATTAATTAATTAATTAATTAATTAATCCCTCTGTTATTCTTTATGAAGACGGTGACAGGGGGGGCCCGAGACAATAGGCTGCCTAACCGTCGATTGAGTATTTTAACTCTACTTATTATTTGCTTTCTTTTTTTCTTTTTTTTTTAATGCCTGTAGTCTTGGATATTTGCGTTGAGCTTGCTGGGCCTCACTCCTTTAGCGGAACGCCTCAGCTTTCTCACCGAGTAAGTCTGTCTCTCTCTCTCTCTCTCTCTTCTCTCTTTAAAACTAATTTACAACATTACCCTGGACATATATTCTTCCTAAAAAACGTTAGCTGTAATTTTATTAGCGTCATCATTCTAGACGAATTAAGAATCTGACTGAGTTGGTGTATGCGCAATGTGTTGTGATGACTGCGCTATGAGAGGGCTCCTCTCTCCCTTAATTACTTAGTCAAAAGAACCTGCTTTTTTCCCCACCCCTTAATTTATTACTCAAAAATAAGAATTGATTTTGATTATACAGTTTACATTTTCTTAATTTCAAGAGAACTAGATCACTTACGTTTTCTGTTGCTTGTATTTGATCTACAGGCAGATTGCGTACTATACTGGGCCTACAGGTACTTATCATTAGCGCTTCTCCCATTCACACAGTCTTAGTTAACAAGTGATTATGCTTAGGTCCTTTATGTGATTATCTTTATACTGGGGTCTCCCCCCCTCCTTTTAACTTAACACAATCGCTTCTTGATTTCTGTCTCATTAGAAACTAACATCTTCTTTCTTATTATAACAAATTGAGTGTTTAACATTATTGTTTGGTGCTGCAGTTGGTGGGCTTCTCAATGCGACGTGCGGTAATGCTACAGAGCTTATCATAGCTTTGTTTGCCCTACACCGGGGCAAAATAGACGTCGTCAAGTGCTCCCTGATTGGTTCCATCCTTTCCAATCTCTTACTTGTTCTTGGTACCTCGCTTTTCTGTGGCGGGCTTGCCAATATCCGAAAGGAGCAATTATATGACAGAGTAAGTTACCACAGTGACATATTCTGATCATCCATAATCTTCATATATGAATGTGTATGTATACCCATTTGAAAAGTTCATACCAACCTTTGCCAAAATGTGTTTTGCGTGCAGAAGCAAGCAGATGTTAATTCCAGCCTTTTGCTCTTAGGGGCATTGTGCCATATGTTACCTTTGATGTTCAAGTATGCTCTAAACTCCAGCGAGCATGAGGTAGTTGCCCTCCCAACGTTGCAACTATCAAGAGTGTGCAGCATCGTCATGCTCCTGGCATACGTTGCTTATCTTTTCTTCCAACTCAAGACTCATCGCCAACTTTTTGAAGCGCAAGAGGTCACCCCACTAATCAACCCGATCTTTTTCTTATTCCATGTGAAGTGAACCATCTGACTAGTTTTTCTTCTTTACTCTATTTGAGACACAATCTGCTGAAGGAAAGAGAACCAACTTAATTCATTCTTCCTTAAAATCATTTCAAGTTGTTTATTATTCTCATCTCAACATATATAGATTACAGCAGTAACATGAAAATTGAAGCTTGATAGTTAATTTGAACTAAATATCAGGAAGATGATGATCAAGATGACGGCGTTTCTGAAGATGAGCCCGTCATGGGATTTCCGAGTGCAATGGCTTGGTTGGTGGGCATGACATTTGTAATTGCAGTGTTATCTGAGTATGTTGTTGGTACCATTGAGGTAATCTCTTTTCATTATCTCCTTTTGTAACCTAGAGTTCTTTGAACATATTTTTCAACATCTGACTGCATATGCATTGCTCTGCTGATTCTTAAGAACAGTTGATTCATGAAATAGTTTGGATACATGGTTCTTAAGAATAGGCCCTTGGCTTATTAACAAATAAGGCACAAAAACATGCATAGTTCTGCTCTCTCAACAAATAGCAAAAGGACATTACTAACAGAAGGCAATGTTACATAAAATCTAAATGGAGATTAGAGCATCCAAATCGGCATGTTTTGTGATACATCTCTTAGCTATTCTAAACTTACACTATAAAGACGTTAGGATTCATGTTGATTGCAATAATATGGTTTGTAAGGAGTCCAAAAGCACTATTACTTTGACAAATGTTCTATAATCTGTAAATGATTGCCTTCACCTATGACTGTTCTGAAAGGAAGTCAAGATGTTTAATGTCTTCTATCTAAATTTTCTCTGGATTGTCAACGAAATGTTTTACGTCAATCTCCTTTCATCATCAAACCAGAAATAAATTAGGAGCAGCACTTTGATATGTTACTATTGAAGACCAAGTTTATATTTTCTATTTTATGCATTGGTAACTTCATGCGCTTTTGAAAATTTATCAATACTATTGCGATTCATTTGAAAGTATGACTTTATTTTCTGATATTAATTTTCTCTCTGCTTATTTTTTAGTTAGTTACAGTCATAATTATCCTCAACTTTAGTTAGTATCATTACTTACAGCATAATTATCTTCAACTAGGCTGCATCGGAATCTTGGGGCCTATCTGTGAGCTTTGTAAGTATTATTTTACTGCCGATTGTTGGAAATGCTGCCGAACATGCAGGTGCCGTCATATTTGCATTCAAGAACAAGTTGGTAAGTAGTATGCAAATTCAGTAGTGAAAGTATAACTTATGTGCAGATAGGGCTAAGGTTTTATGCTACTGTTTAGGATATTACTTTGGGCGTCTCATTGGGGTCGGCAACTCAAATATCTATGTTTGTGGTGAGTTTTCGAAGTGGAGTCTCAGCAAACTCTTGTTATCATATATGCAATTTGTATAATCATTTCTTTAACATAATATAGGTCCCATTGAGTGTGATTGTGGCATGGATAATCGGAATTGAAATGGATCTTGATTTCAAATTACTTGAGACTGGCGCACTCGTTGTTGCGATTATTGTTACATCTTTTACTTTGCAGGTATCAATATTTCTTTACTGTTATCTTATTTAGAACGAATTTGTTCAATTTGTATCACTCAATTATGATTCCAATAGCTAATTTATAAAAGCTATAACTGATTGCCTTCTTTTTTAACCCAGTAAGAGGACTAATCACCACACTGTTCGCTTACGGGTAAATATATCGTAAAAAACAGACTGATAACATGTCTTCAACCTTGCCCATATACATGAGAAACAAGCCAGGTACCAGAAGTCCTAGGATCTTGATTAAGCCTTGTGGTTTATGGTCCATCATCAACCTCACTGTTACAACAACGAGCATATTAATGTGATATATTTGCTAATTAATTCAGAACAAAACCTAAAAAAAACTAATTTGTTGCGAGACGAAGATCCTAAGTTACTCACTGTTCCTTTGTACTATCTTCAACTAAAATCACTCATCTCTTTCCATATTGCTTCTTTAAATATTCAGGTAGACTTAAGCCATAGCACGTAGGAACGATGACAAAGTTTTTATCCTAAATATTTATAGTTGGTTACATGAATCATATTCTTCAGTCAATAATGTTAAGATGTATCCTCTTCATTAAGTTACTGGCATTTAACTCATCCCATGCGAACACCGGTATCCAACTTGAGCTACAACTGTTTTGCAATTCTCCCAGATTCTTACACCAAAGCATACATAATTCCAGGAGCTATACCTTTCTGCATCTTTTCAAAGTGTTTCTCATTCCAACTATTTCATTTTCTGTTTGCACGTGTTATATTTGTTATCACATTTTCTCACTCCAACTATTCCATTTTTTGTTTGTACATTTTGTATTTATTGTCGCATTTTAGATTGTCACTATTATCATTCTTATAGAATTAAATTAAAATATTTAAATGCCAGAGATGATTATTGCTATTAGAAAAGTAATATCTATGGGGATTTGTTTTGCTTGTTTTAGGACGGGACTTCACACTACCTGAAGGGTTTTGTTCTGCTGCTTTGCTACGTTGTTATTGGTGCATGCTTTTTTGTACTTAAAACACCACCTAGTAAGTATTTCGCCTGCGAAGGATATTTTGATGTTGCACATATTTGTATTTAATATGTTGTTCATAACTGGTTCTTTTCATGTATAATAATCAAATATCAGACGAGACCAATGGCATTAATGTGAATGTCCTGCCAACAATTTCGGGGGCTGTGGCGGCTTATTAGATTGGAGGTGAATCCCTTCTTTTCGTTATTATTCTATATATATCAACTTATTTAAATACAGATACATATAGAGTTCTTTTTTAATGTTAACGTTTTCCTACGGCCTAATATAGTGAATTTTATTTGGCGTGGCTCCTTTGCAGATAGCTTGCAGGTTTGGTCTAATCAAGAAATATGCTGATTGGACGAGCACTGTTAATCCTTTGCTCATTCTTCCATTCCCTTCGTTTCTTATAAATGGGAGTTTTATAAATGTTTTGGCGATGTTCTATCCATTTTGAGATGGACTTCAGTGCAAAAAACACTCCTATGCTCGGATATTGTTGACAAAAACAGAGAACTTTCAATGAATATTATTTTGTGATGTCTTTGTAAATATCTTCTGCAACGTTTTTTTCCCTTCTCATTTTTTCTATATCTACTCCTCTGGTTTGTATTCACAAGGTTCTTTTTTACCTGGTTTGTACTTGTATATTTAAAAGGGGACGGGGGTGCTTTCTTTAGCGGGTCCAATTGGCTGGAAGCTTGTTTTAAAAATATAAATCAATAATGTTTTAACTTTCACCATAGCTTCGGAGTTTTGATGTGATCGGTTAGGAACTTTGATGTAGTATCATATCAATTCAGGTTCAAATCCTATCGGTCTCGAATTTAAAGTGAATTTTCAACTTTGGACTTCTGGTGCTCCATGAGAGCGGAAGTCCATCGCTTATCACTCAAGAGTTCATACCTGATATCTTGTTCATTTCATAGACAACCGTGATCCTTTCTTGTTTATTCATAGACAACCGTGATCCATGTCCAATGGCATGGTTTGATAAGAACTCGAGATTTTTTTCCCCGAACTGATGAGTTTTGACTATAATAAGGACACGCTTAATTCTTTGAAAATTTATCTAATTCTTAGCATCTCCTCGTAAGTTCTGATGGCAACAATATACTCGGTTTCTGTAGAAGACAACACAATACACTATTGCAACTTGGGCTATTAAGACAAGACTAGATCTTCTTGAGTCGATAGAATACGTTATACTCGTATCAATGAATTCTACCAATATTGATTGACCCCATGAAAACATGGGCATAACTTCAAAGCTAGTTAAACCTGAAAATCCACTTACTGATCTCGGCTGCAGCGGGTGACATGTTGGCTGGTAAATATATGGATATCCTTCAAATAAAAGAGAAAATTTATGTGCTCGAGAAGTGCTTTTATTGGCTTTTAAAACTATGGTGTATGCTAGAGATAGCTAATTTTTTGTATACTACATATTTCTTTTATTAAAATCTGCGTGTGTAATTAAACTGCAAACCCAGACAAGATGGATTAGAAGTTAGAAGAGAAAGCAATGGTGCATTGATTTTTATGTGTATAAACTGACCTGTACATAGAAAGACGTGGAATTTGCTTGAAAAAAAAGGAAATACTAATAACTGATACATGTTGTTCAGGCAGAACTATTATATATATATATATATATATATAATATATATTATATTAATATATTTATATATTACTGCGGCGTGCTTTAAGAATAACCTGCACATACTTGCTGAGTGAAATGGCGCTAGTACATAGGAATTTAAGCGATATAAGGACGGTGTGATGAGCTGCTGCTCCACAACGGCAGCTTGCGGAAGCTGATGTAGTCAAGCTGCGTGGGAGGAGTCGTTCATGATGAATAAGATAGCCTCCTTGATTGGAGATCTGTCCAATCCTGGCCAGGCTATCGTCGGCCGGAATCTATAGAAGATGAAGTTGTGTAGAGGTAGAGGAGAGAGAGCCATGGTGAGCGTGACCATCAACTTAACCGCAATCACCTTCCACAATCTGGCAACCAAATCCAGAGCCCACCCACCTCCCATCAGCAGCCCAAAGGGCCTTGCTTCATCTCCTGCCGAGTCGGAGGAGGCGCGGTAAGCCTGCACTACAAACTGATGTTTGGCAAAGAGGCCAGTGAAGACAAGGCCCCACGCCCCACAACCCCCGTGCAACTGGGCAGCTTCCAGAGGGTCATCGTACCTGAGCCTGAGGGCCAACACGTTGAGGCCTATCAGCACCCATGCTGAGACGAAACCGCAAACAATTGCGGCCCAAGGCTCAACCACGGAGCATCCAGAAGTGATGGCCACCAAGCCTCCCAGCAGGCCGTTGCTCCAATGCCCACCAGCATTCGCCGACCTAACAGTAGTCACCAGCCTGAAGTAGACCCCGCTAGCGCCGTTGTCACTGGCGGTCGGCTGTGCCCGTCAATTGCGATTGGGAACCTCCTCGCCAAGTAGGAGGATCTTGTTGAAGGACCCAGGATTGAATCCGAACCATCCGAACCAAAGCAAGAAGGTCCCCAAAACAACTAGAGTGGCATTGTGGCCCCGCATTGGCACCGGCTTCCCAAACGCGTCGAACCTCCCAAGACGAGGGCCTTCGATAAGAGCACCCCAGAGCCCTGCGATCCCACCCACCAAATGCACAACTCCGCTCCCAGCAAAGTCAATGGCCCCCGAACCAAACAGCAACCCACCACTGCCGCCTGTGGGACTGAGCCATCCCGCAGGAGACCAGACCCAGTGGGCTGCAACCGGGTAGACCAGGCCAGTGAGAAGGAAGGAGTACACGAGGTAGGCACTGAACTGAGTGCGCTCCGCAATGGAACCGCTGGTTATTCCGGCCACAGCAATAGCAAAAGCCCACTGGTACAGGAAGTAGGCGTAGTCGTAGTCTTGATTGGGGACATGGCTGAGGGCGAACAGAGAGGTGCCTATGAAGGGGTTTGTACTCGAGTCGCCTGCGGTGCCGAAGGCAAAGGCAAAACCAAAGAGGTAATAGGAAAGAGTTCCTACCACAGCATCGACGACGTTGGTGAGCATGATGTTCAGGGCATTCTTGGCCCTGACAGATCCGGCACACAGCATGGCGAACCCAAGCTGCATCACGAACACCAGGTATGCTGAGAACAACAGATACACCGCGTTTATAGACTCCGCTACACTCGCCTCCCATCTCCCTGCTGCTGCTGCTGCATCCATGCCCACACCACCGTATACTAATAACTATCACCGTATATATAGTAGTATCTCACACACCCACGCAACAGGGCTATTATACCCATGGACTAATGCATGATGCTATGTACATATAGTCCCCCAACAACAACAAAAAAAACAACAAAACGGTAGATAGGAAGCAGTTGAGTAGCCTCTCGTTCTTGTGTGGTCATTGATGATGGATTCGCGAGGAGGATATGGTATGTTCTCATACGCTGACGACTTGTGGGGTCACCAATCCTTGATTTGTCCACATGAACACTTCTTACAAGCTGATTAAAAAATTTAACAACTCTGATCCACCTCTTACTGGTCGTACACTACAGTTATTATAATATTTATTTGCAAGCCATTCCAATACAAACAGACTACATCTCTCATAAAACTCTCCCCCTTTGCTCATTCCATACAACCATTTCTTCCACCTTAAACGCGGACACAACTAGCTCAGCTCAACATTTCTTGCAAATTACACTTACAAAGCATAGCAAACAAAAAACAACATATGGTTTTTCCAGTGTTATGCCACTCAAGAGCTACTTGGTTTGTAGAAAATTACTAATGTGAGTAAATGGATAATCTGTTCTAGCAAAATGAATCTGTCGGAGCAGAAGCGAGGCTCAATTAGCAAGCGTTCAAGCAAAACCTGGGAACAAGTATACAATCACAACTATTCTATATCCAAAACGATCAATTGCAGAATACAATCAAACAACCACCAAAATTAATGTGGTGTTAGTTTCCACAACACGTGCCAATGGACAACAGGCCATCTTTACCATGCCAATTAGTAAGTACGCACTAGATCCTACCCTCTTCGAATCTCAGTTGAAAAAAAAATAAAAAAAATAAATGATGATGATATTGCTGCATGGGTGATCTCTGTCTGTTAAAAGAACAAACTGCCTGTTCAAAGAACAAAGGATTATACTTCTGCATCATGAATGTTGCGGGTGTACACGTAGGGAGGATTGCCGTCTCCATTACAGAACCAGATATCAGTCCTCATCTTCAGAATCTGTATGTGGGACGAGTCATTATTAGCACAAAAGAAACTTGTATGTGGGACGAGTCATTATTAGCGCAAAAAATTTCGAGCTCCAGTAAATAGCTTCAGATTTGATTTTCGAATTCCCAGTAAGCCAGAATTTGAGACTCAAGTTTTTGTATTTCCCATGATATATGGCGTACTTTAGATTTGACTTAAGAAACTCACTGTTTGATGATAATGTAATAGATAAAAGTTATTCAATGCCCACAACTAGTTTAACTGTCAAGAGAGATGGATGTACAGAGTGTCAACAAGTTAACTCAAATAAAATAGTTAAGAAATTTTACATCTCGGTATTATAAATCAGAAAATTCTCATAAAATTTCACTGAGATTAAATTTGTGAAAATGAAAGTGACCAAAAAAAATCTCAAAACACAGGCACACCAAAGACTCTGAAAAGGAGGGGGGTGTATATAGCACATACACTAAGGAATATATATACAACTTATGTTTGAACAAGTTGTGATATCTAACCTGATCGAATATCTTCTCCAACTTTTCCTTTATTACTCATCTGTCTCATGATCATTGCGAAAATCAGTTTCCACCAGTATATGTGGAATAGAAGAAGGGTGAATAGCATGGTATTGAAAACATAGTACAAAGCTTTGGGAAAGCATTCCAGCACCATCAAGGATTCAATCGACTCGTAGCTGATAACACAGCCATCACAGAGTCAGAGAAAAATTCAAAGAAGAATGACGAACCAAAATCAATATGCACAAACAAACCTTGAGGTTTTGATTATCCAGAACGGAAAAAATATTAGCCGTAAAATAAGCCATGAAATTGCAAAAAGCCCGAAGCCCACACTAGCTCCCATTTCATTTTCTGAATACTTGAAGACCTTAGCTGCTTCCATAAACACATCACTTGTATCATGCAATGCCAGAATAATAGTTCCAATCCGGAAAAACCTGCACAACAGACCCCTTTGTAATCTTCAATCATAATAAATCACTAAGTACAAGACGCAACCTTACTAGAATGAATTGAAAGAGTTCTTTTGTAACCATTTGGTGAAATATATAAAAATTGATATAAAGTACAAGTTTCTGGTTCTCCTACTTATTTATTACTTCCCTTCTCTTGTTTCCTTCTTTGTCAAACATAATCGTACCTAGTCAAAAAATATTTTGCCTTTAGCGTTTTCTGGGACAAGGCTCAGATAACAAAGGGATTCATATGCAAGCTAGACAAGAGACATAAGTACCACACAACATATCATATAGGCAATGACGGATTCAAGTAGAGTGCTCTGGGGGCACTTGCCCCCATAGATATTGATAATCTTAATAAAAGTAGACTCCAATTCTAATAAGTGCCCCCAATAGAATTTAATTGCCGTCCCTAATCAATTCAATCCACAGGCCATAATTTTTTCAGCCCATTTACATTATCAATCAAAACGAGCTGACATTCATTTTGACCGAAAATTCTAAAGAATAGCACGACTACATCTTTAATTTGGTAGTTAGTAGGTGAGTTTCTGAACCCGTCCATTTCAATTCACCAGTGAGTTCTTGCTCACTCTCATTTTCAATTTGGGGAGGACCTCTTTATTCGGTAGTTACTGCTCACTAACTTTAGTTTCCACTTTCCATGCACGAGGGCTTTAGGGGTTATGTAGTGCATGTATACAATAAAGACTTAAAATGTATGTGTGATTTGATATGGTTTTTAACAGGGACTGTTATTTATAGATTATGGGTTGCATTGTTTGTGGAGTGGTAGTTGCCAAGTTGGGACATGACTTGGATTGAATCTGTGAGAATTACAAAAGGCAAATAGTTATTTCTTTTTAGCTTATGAAAGTTGCACATTCCTTAAACCTTAGAAACTGAAGATCTATGCTTGTAATTTGCAGCTGATTATGATTTGATTAATGTCTAATTGAGAGAAAAATCAGAAAAACCTTGTTAGCTGTTTTTTAATCTATCTAATTGAGAAAGATCCAAGTTCTTTCAGAGAGAAACTGATTAATTGGTAACTTATGTATGTCCCTGGTGCCAGGATCTCAAAATCCAACTTTCTCCGCGATGAAAATTATAAAGAATTGATCACATGGTCGTATGAGACATGAATAGGTGAATAATTATTTAGTTATGATACTTAGAAAGAAATATTTAACATTATAGGAAAATGAGAGAATCATAGGGTATCAAAAGATGAGACCCACATAGAGAGAAATTACAAATAACCATTGGTGGAACTTAGTAGTATTTTGTTAGTTTTTGTGATAAACATTAAAAATAAAAATGAAAATGATCATGTAATAATATGAAAATGATAATAAAAATTATGTTAAGATCTTTGTGCTTATTGTGTAAATAATTTTATTTATTGGCAGAATTTTTATTATATAAGTTATTAATTTATATGTATAATTGGTAAGATAACTCTGTCAATGTTGTGTTTATTATCAACACTGTCTGTCCCAAGCTAGGATAAAGGAGAGATTGTGTTAGGTAGCCGACAGCAAGCATAAAATATAATTAGTTCCACATGAAAAATGAATCATGTTATATATTTGTTGGGGCATCCCCACTGCGACGCGTTACATCGATGTTATCCTGATGCAATGATAAGTAAGCAATGGTGATTTGCTAGAGCGTCCCCCGAAAGCGACGCATTACATCAATGTCACCCCGGTTTTATGACAAGGAATGGTGTTCTAAGGATCTATAATCCTCTAATAGATTACCTAATAATTAGGCATAGACTAGAACGGTCTAAGAGGGAAAATGGTAAGAGACTTTTACAAAAAAAAAAAAAATTAGATTAGCTATTTGGAATATAAATACACTTTCCGAAAAGATTATGAAATTAGTGGATGTCATCCTTAGAAGAAAGATAAATATAATTTGTTTACAAGAAACTAAATGGGTAGGTAAAAAATCTAAAGAAATTGAAAAGACCAGATATAAACTTTGGTATACGGAAAAAGAGAAGAATATGAATGGAGTGGGAGTTCTTGTAGATAATATAATAAAAGAAAGCGTTCGAGAGGTAAGAAGAGTTTGTGATAGAATAATACTAATAAAAGTTGTCTTAGCTGTAGAGCTTATTAATATTATTTGTACTTACACACCACAAATAGGCTTGCCCAAGAGTACTAAAATAAAATTTTGGGATAGATTAGATGAATTAGTACAATGAATCCCAATTAGAGAGAAATTATTTATAGGAGGTGATCTTAATGGGCATGTTGGTAATGATAATAACGAATATGAGAGGAGACATGGAGGTTTCGGGTATGAAGATGAGAAAGATATGGGTAAATCAATTTTAGAGTATGTAATATCGTATGATTTAATAATAGCAAATACACTTTTTAGAAAAATGAATGGACACTTAATAACCTTTAAAAGTGATTTTAATAATAGTCAAATAGACTTTTTTCTTACTAGAATGTCGGATAGGTTAATATGCAAAGATTGTAAAATTATACCAGGAAAGAGTTCAAGTACACAATATAGATTGATGATCTTAGACATATCTATTAAGAAGTGGAGTAGATAAACTAACGTGAACAAGAGACTAAGAACTAAATGGTGAAATTTAAAAGGAGAGAATTTAATATATTTTAAAGATAAGATAATGAAATAAGATATATGGAACATAGATAATGAGACTGATATTATGTGGAATAGCATGTCTTCTTGTATTAGGAAAGTGGCTAAAGACATACTAGAATAATCTAAAGATTGTAAATTAGACGGTAAGAAGAGTTGGTGGCGGAATGAGAGTGTATAAAAGGTTGTTAGAGAGAAAAAAATTTATACAAAGAGTGCCAAAAGTGTAGTAGGAAAAACTTAGAAAAATATTATATATATATATATATATATAAGCTTGCTAAAATTAGAGAAATAAAGTAGAGGTTTGGATAAAATTAGGTGTATTAAAAGTGAGGATCAAAGAGTTCTAGTGACCTACAGGAAATAAAAGAGAGATGGAGGAGTTACTTTTATTAATTGTTTAATGATAACCAAATAAGTGAGCAAAATACAGATTTTGACCATATAGTGAATGATATGAACTATAGATATTGTCGAAAAATTATGATTAATGAGGTTAAAGATGCTCTAAAGAAAATAAAAAGTGAAAGAGCCGTAGAACCGGACGACATCCCTATTGAAGAATGAAAATGTTTTGGAGATATAAGCTTAGGATGGTTAATAAACTATTTAATAAGATTATCGAGATGAAAAGAATGACGGATGATTAGTATTTTGATACTGATATATAAAAATAAAGGGGATATACGAAGTTGTTTAAATTATCGAGGTATAAAACTCGTGAGTTATACTATGAAACTTTGGGTTAGGGTAATTGAGCAAAGATTAAGAAAAGAGACAAGTATGTCTGAAAATCAATTTGGTTTATACCTGGGAGGTCAACTATGGAACCTATACATATTTTGAGACGGTTGATGGAGACATATAGAGAGAAGAGAAAGGATCTACATATAATTTTTATCGATCTAGAAAAAGTTTATGATAAAGTGCCTAGAGAGTCAATGTAGTGGGTATTAGAGAAGAAACATGTATCTAGTATATATATTGATGTGATTAAAGATATGTATGATAGAGTAACAACTAGAGTAAGAACTAATAAATGAGAGATTAAACTATTTCCTATTATCATAGGTTTACACCAAGGATCAGCTTTAAGTCCTTATCTTTTTGCATTAGTTATGGACCAACTTACTAAGCACATTCAGGATAAAATCTCATGGTGTATATTATTTATCAATGATATAGTATTAGTTGATGAAACTAGAATAGATTTTATTTCTAAAGTAGAAAAATGGTGACAAGCTCTTGAATCTAAAGGTTTTAGAATCAGTAGAACAAAAACAGAATATATAGTGCATTTTTAATAAAACTAGAAAAGGATGAGAGCATATGGTACATATTGATAGCTAAGAAATACCTAAAACTAATTATTTTTGCTATTTAGGATCAATCATTAGGCATGATGGTGAAATAAAAGATGATGTTTTGTATCGAATCAAATCGGGACGGTTGAAATGAAGTGCTTCGGTTGTCTTATATGATCGTAGAATATCAATAAAACTAAAGAAAAAATTATATAGGACGGTTATAGGACCAACCATATTTTATGGGTCAGAGTGTTGCGCAATTAAAAAATAACATGTTCAAAAAATGAGTGTGGTAGAAATGAGAATGATGTGATGCTCTTATGGGTATACATTAAAAGATAGGATAAGAAATGAGTGCATCCATAGTAAATTAGAGATTACGCCTATTGAGGATAAAATGAGAGAGCATAGATTAAGATGTTTTGGTCATGTACAACGGAGAACTTTAGTGCACCAATTAGGAAAAGCGATGATATTAGAGTTAATGGGGCTAGATGATTTAGAGGTAGACCTAAAATGACTTAGAAGCAATTAAGAAGGATATGATTAAGACTAACTTAACAGAGGAGATGACTCATAACAAAATGGAATAAAAAATAGGATTCGTGTAGCCGACCATAAACATTCGGGATAAAGGCTTGGTTGTTGTATGTATAATTGGTAAGATCAAATGTTTTCAATATCGGATATCAGAAAAATATCAGATGGCTAAAATTCACATCGGAATGCGGATATCGGGGACATGTCGGGGATATATGGTAAATACCTGGAATGTCATAATGGATGTTTGCATATATAGTATAATGCACTAAAATGCAATCTCAACATACTTAATAAATCTAAGCATACAAAATGTAAATAATATCTATTTAGGATCAATAATCAACTTTGTAAAACAAATAAAAATACAAATCAACATTGCAACATTTCGTTTGATATTTTGTAGACCAAAATGTCATTTGATATAATGGAAAAATTATATTTCGACCAAAAATTACCAAATGTGGTATAATATTTTGCAATAAGCCATATAATAGGATATATCGATCAACATATCGGCTAATATATCGATCATATCGGGGATGTATCCCTCAAACTAGTAAAAAAGCAGTAAAGGATATCTAGAGATCATATCGGTTGTGGCAAGCCTTGTAAAAAGATATATCGGGTGACATATCAGGCCAGGTTGGGGACATTTAAAACAATGGTCGGCTAATATATCGGTCATATCGGGGATGTATCCCTCAAACTAGTAAAAAAGCAGTAAAGGATATCTAGAGATCATATCGGTTGCGGCAAGCCTTGTAAAAAGATATATCGGGTGACATATCAGGCCAGGTTGGGGACATTTAAAACAATGGTAAGATCTTTCTGCATTCGTCCCTGCTTGTTATAGCCAAAATTTGTTTGGCTAGCCATGCTAAGAAAACAGTTGTCTGAGTCGATTGTCCAACATTATCACATAAATTTAACATCTGAGGACCTTTAGTGCCCCTGAACCAGGAGCCTCTGCATGCCCTTGTCCCTTTCAATTTCTCGTTCGAAGGCAAGGAGCAAAATGTAAGCGATGCGCCTACATCACTACACGTTGAAAGTGAATGAAACTCATTTTGTCTCCAGCTCCATGGATTTTCACTCATTCTGAGTTTGCTCTGCCCTGCAGCACTCTAAATCTTTCATCGTGTCTACTCATGGGTCAAGCATTCTTTACATTCCTTATGAAAGTAGGTTTCGCTAGGTGGATACTTCTTTTTGGGTTAATTACAAGAAACCCCATGATTTTTTGGGGAGTTGTAGTAAACTCCCCATCAATTTTTTTATTACACTCCCCCCCCCCTCTATGAGTTATTGCAGATAACCCACATGAAATGTTTTATTTTACAAAATCTTGCCTGAATACTTATTTTTTCATCACCATATTAGCACCATCAATTCTCACATGTCACTGCTAATCACAAGACAAAAATTCCTTCTTAGTCCAATAAAAAAGACCTTTTATTAAAAAGGAAAAATATATAACTTTTTAGGATCAAGGAATTGTTTTCATTTTTTTAGGTACATGTTTGCCACATGAGATGTCAAATCGATGATGCTACTTTGGAGATTAAATGAAAAAATTTCATGTGAAATTTAATGAATTGGGGGATATGTACAACAATTCCTAAAGTTCAAGGGGGTTTAGTGCAATAAAAAAATTTGATAGGGGTTTATTGCAACTCCCCAAAAGCTCATGGGAATTTTCTGTAATTAACCCTTTTTCCTTTGGACAGAGGAAAAATGACAGGTTTGAAATTGGGCCAAAAATCAAATTTAATCCATAAGGGATAGGTGCAAGGTGGCTCAAGGTGGCTCTTTATATGCTAGACTAATGCATATAATTATAGAGAACTGGGAGCATGTACTTGACACATTTCAGTAAATTGACAAGAAAATGACATAGGGAGAGAAACTAGGGGAAAGTAAGCATGACCAATCCAATTATCGAATAACAAAAAATTCACGGTAAAAAGATTGCATGCTGTTGAATAGACATCGGGAATTGGATTTACTCACTACTGTTGATGAATTAAATAATGTACACGCATGCATTTTCATGCTGACAAAAATTTCACGGTAAAAAGATTGCATGCTGTTGAATAGACATCGGGAATTGGATTTACTCACTACTGTTGATGAATTAAATAATGTACACGCATGCATTTTCATGCTGACAAAAATTTCACGGTAAAAAGATTGCATGCTGTTGAATAGACATCGGGAATTGGATTTACTCACTACTGTTGATGAATTAAATAATGTACACGCATGCATTTTCATGCTGACAAAAATTTCACGGTAAAAAGATTGCATGCTGTTGAATAGACATCGGGAATTGGATTTACTCACTACTGTTGATGAATTAAATAATGTACATGCATGCATTTGCCTAAGAGCTGACTTTATGTGGCAAATTTTTTTTCACGAGAAATTATAATGCCAAACTTTGTGGAAGACCAAATTCACTATCATCCTCATCCTCATCTACTCCACTTCACGGTTTCAGTATGAAGCATCTAAGCCACATCTGTTGCGCTATGAAGCCAAGTCTTAATTGAAATTGATCAACTTATGACTGGCTGAGTTTTATGTCAACCCTCTGCATTCAAAGTACTAGCCGAATAAAACAGGCACGAGAGAAGAATTTGCTATAATTTGTAGAAGAATCTGCTAGAATAATAAAGTCCAACTTTTGTGGCACAACACAAAGTACGGCATATAGAAATGCATTTCTACGTGCAACAGCCTGACCTGCAATTGTTATGATACTTAATAAATAAAATAAATGGGGAACTTCTGGTGGGTTTCTCAGATTCAATAGCTAGCAGCCTAGCATTTATATTACATGAAAATTACATGTAAAATCAAGAACATATATTAAGAAAATGTAATTGGAAGAGGCAGAAAATTTTGGACCACTATTCAAAATTGTTACCTGGTTATGAAGGAGTATCCAATCAAAACCGAAGTTATTATGTGATGAGACATCATAATGGAGAAATCTTTCCTTCGAGTTTCCCAAGAAACAAGAGCAGCGATGCTATATATGTAAAATCCACATTGACACATGTAGAAAAGCTTCAATGAAAAGCTAGACAGGGAAAAGAAAGATGTCAGATAGGTAGCTTAATAATCTGCAGCTAAATGTACTTTTTTCAGAATGAAACACTCCAAAAGATTCGTTCATAGTTTAACCAGTCAAATATTCTTGTTTAAAAAGAAAATTGATACTGTTTCATCAAACACAGATAGTTTGCACAATATTTCTGAAAAAGTGAATTTAGACTTAAATATTGTAAAGTACATGTAATAGTCCAAACAGGAATTACTGCCCCTTAAAATGCAGTACCTTACATACACCATGGTTGACTTTTTTGCGTATACAGAAGAAGCTGAGACTTAAGTATACTGTAAATGTTTAGAATATGTAAAAGGAATGTACATCATGTATCTATCAAGGATACTAGTGCTCAAATACTGGACACGGCATACGGGTATATGTCCCCTTCAAAATCCATGCATGCTGCAATTAAATCAAATTTCCCTCACCTGGTTCTTAAACAGCAATTTCTACACCTTCTGAATACATATTTTCCACCTAATGATTAAGAGTTTTTGCAGTCCATCTTTACATTTTTATTTACAGAAAAATCATGCTAGAACCTCCACATTTCCCCAATTTTGAACCTATGTATGAATTTTCAGTTCTTAAATTCAAGATTAGTAGCTACTACAAACCAAATTTTGCCACTACCATACGGAGATTGGAAAAGAAATTAAGAAACCTGACACTTAATCGAAATAATAATCTCCATAATTCCTATTTGCAAAGTAAACAAAAATTGGGTTATATAAAGAATAAAGAGTTAAAAGATCAACTATAGCCAACAAAGGAGGTTCTTAAGCAATGAAATTAATAAGTTACTGTTCCATCAAGCTCATGGGTTCACAGAATTTGATTTATGTCACATACAATTAAGTTATTATCAACTGAATTCACTAGATCAAATCAAAGGACCATGTGCAACAGGGTAAAACTAGTTATAGCAGAGAACCACATCTCCACAAATAAGAAATTCAACAATTATGTTAACTATGAAGAAAGTATAGCATATTTTTGCAAAACCAGTAATGAATTTTATTCAGCAATCAAGCAGTCGAATACTGTGCAAAAAGAAAATAACAAGAGAAGAGTTGCCAAAGTACATGGTAGATTATAAAGAGATTTCAGGTCATGTTTAGGATTTAATATGATAGAAGGGAGAAAATTCTGTACTCACTTCATTTCTTGATTAGGCCACCCTTTAAAATACTCCTTTGTCTTCAGTGACCAAGGTTCTTGTTGAATGATTGAAATAACCCATAACTGCACGCTGACATAATATGTCAGCTTCCACATTGACTCAGAACATTTTACAATCTTAGAGTCCCTGGCATCACTCGTCATCACCTTTGCAGCACCATGTTCCAACAGTATGGCCGCCAAACGCTGAGGAAAAGGATTCTCACGTGATTTATAAGATGCACATGGAGTTAGCTCATAAAACTAGTGAGAAACAACAAAGAAACCTTGGCCAGGAACACATAAATAATAGTGATAGATATGCATCAAGATTTGTCAAAAAAAAAAAAAGAAGATTGAAATACTACTAGGAGTAATCTAAATGTGCATGTGACGGCATGAAGCTTACCAAAAGAAATCCGAAAATAGTGACAATTTCCAAGAAAAAAAGGCGATGAGATTTGCGTGAGTGCAGAAGGTTGTTGAAACATATGAAATTTTTTAAAGTGGGGATTTAACATCTGGACTTGAACCGAGAGGACACTCACAAATTGCATTAATACGGTCGATGGACTGCGCGAAACTGGTAATAAGCCTGCAACTAGGCTAAATGAATAACCATTGAGCATAGTTCTGTAAAGATGCAGTTATCCACTCTTATTAATGGAGGAGGAGCATAAGGAAGAAGTATTCATATCCAATATATTATACGTTTCCAATTACATTAGAAAGGTTGAAAGGGGAGCGCATAATAATAATAATAAAACACGAGAAGTCCGGATCATGAATTGTTTTGGGAACGATTGTAATAAATAAACGGGGCGGCATAAAATTAGGGGGGGAACGGATCTGTGATACTGTTAAGTTGGCCCGCGCCCGATAGTAGTAAGTCGCAATGGGTTAGGTTAGGTCTCTCTCCCCCTCCCTCTCTTTATCTCCCCTTCAGGATTTCACAAAGGAATTCGATCTGAGATCCAAGATTTTTTGAAAAAAGAAGAAGAAGGAAAGATTAAAAGTAATGATGATGATAATAATAAAGAAGGAGACCTTGAAGAAGAGGCGATCCAAGAGGAATCTAGCGGCGAGGAAGCCAAGAGCGAAGCAGACTGCGATCAAGAAATGCGATGCCTCCGGCACGCCTCCTCCTCCTCCTCCCGCTTCCATATCTTCTTCCAATCTCAGATCAACCCCCCCTCTTCCTTCTTTCTTTCTTTTCTTTTCTTTTCTTTTCTTTCCTTTCTTGAGAAGAACCAGAGAGCGGGAGGGAGGGAGGGTGGGGTTCCGAGAAGAACCCAATCAGCTTCCTCCCTAGGCTCCGCTAATTCTTCTTCTTCCTCTTCTTCTTTCAGTTGTTGTTGCTGCTGCTGTTGTTGGTCCAAGTACGCAGTGACGCAAAAAAGTCGGTCAGTCAGTCTGAAAAAAGACCGACCACAGTAAACAAGTAGTCTTTAACAGCCAGCAAGCAATCCAGCCCCTTGTCCTCCCCCCTCCTTGGCTCCTCCCCTCCCCCTCCTCTTTATTTATTTATTTATTTATTTATTTATTTATTTATTTATTGATCTGGGGGGGAGGGCAAATAATATAAAATGATGGGGGAAATTAATGACAAATAGGAGACGGGGGGGAATGTTTTTTTTTTAGAGGTGCGGAACTCCTTTGCTTTTATGGGCGTATTTGATTGGTCACATCACGCACGCGATACAGCTCGTGTTTGGATTTATTAGCTCCCTCAACATAAATCCTCTATGCTGCTTCAAATTAGTTTCTCTAATCAACCATGAAGTCCAACAACATTTAATCAAACTTAACAAAATATACATATATATGTATGTATACATATTTCTTATTTACCATTACCTCAATTTTCTCTTGTTCTTTTCTTTTCTTTTCACCCTCCCAATTATAAATGAGATTTGTTAGATAGAGAATTTGTGAATTGAAACAAAAAAATAAATAAATCTAGTTTAATTACATCATTAGTATATAGAATAGGACGTTTTTACCTCACAAGCAAGTGAGACATAGGATGCTTAATTTTAATGAAAAATCAAGTACGTTATCTCCTAGATGTTTGATGAGTCCTTAATTATCACGAGAAACTTATCAACAATTTATTCTATTTATCAAATATTTTAAATATAGGTGTGCATATTTATTTATTAAGGTTCATCCTTGAGTGTTCTTAATGACCCGAGGATCACCACACACAAAATTGCCAATGTTTCATTCATCATACTCCAACAAATTGTTTAGAATTAATCAAATTAGAAAAGAAACAAGTTGAAATATTTTCCCCCTTCTTGAAACATGTAGATACTTTTATTTAGCATTCAAATCATCCATACTCGGATTATTAAACACGTATGGTTTTCCAGGAACAAAGTTACTGAGCTGATATTTGCCTCATAAATACATACCCATACCCCGGATTAATGTCAAACACCTACCATCTGGGATTCTCTACTAGTCAAACAAACATCGTTAATGAGATTTCCTTCCCGTTCCTTGCCGAAAATGGAAATTGATTTTTTGGAATTAAACTAAGCACGTAAATACCTCACAGTAAAAACGACAAAATTAGGCGGTGTGTCGTACTAAAAAGTTTCTTCACTTTATTGGTAAGGGTCTGTTCGTTTGCCAAAAAAAAATCGGGAAATCTCTTGCCACCTCAACTTTCAAGAAATGAACAAGTGCCACATGGGATTTTGTTTTCAAGAGATTTTCATTTCTCATGTTTATTTCGTTTTTAATTTTCGAGAAATGAACCGTCACGTAGGCTGCCACCTCAAACTTTCAAGAAATATGTTTTCACACCAAATTGGGCTGAAAACACTTGAAAATGTCTCATCTAAGAATTATTAATTAGTAAAAGCACTGTTGGAATAGTGCAGAATAATAAAACATAATATTTAATACCCCTATTTCTCATTTCCTATTTCTTGTTCTCAAACAAACAAAGAAATAGAAAACTGGGCACTGTTACTATGGAAGCTTTTTTTATCTGTTTGTGTGACTTGGCATTGAAATGTGGAGTTTTCTTTCCGAAACAAACCAAAAAAAAGAAATCTGGGAAATGTGCTTGAAATGTATTAAAAAAAATCATTTCAAGGATGAGTTTTCCATTTCCGATTTTTTTTGGGAAATAACCAAACAGGCCCTAAAAAGCAATTTATAGTCTAGTTTACTACAATGTCTCTACATTACTTTCTTCACTTTATCGGTGAAAAGCAATTTATAGTCTAGTTTAATTACTACGTACAGTGTCTCTACATTACTCATGTACATATTGCAAAGGATCTCAATGTCATTCTCTCAGTAAAAACAGCCTGCAAATGCAAATATTATAAAGAGCAACTGGTAGAACCATATACATTCTGGAAGTTGAAACCAGAACCTATGAAATTTATCACGTAATAGTTTCAGTCAGCAGGTGGACTCGTACTCGGACCAAAATTCTACAGGAAACGTGTGATGGCTTCAAGGTCCCCACGCTATAGGATTTCTCAGGACACCAGCTGGAGAGTTGGTTCCCCTGTAATATTATCAACATATTGTCTTATATCAGCGTGCAATGACAAGTTGCTAATCGCACGAGGTCCTAACATCATACACTACTATGTTTTAACGACGTGCGCATGGAAACGAAATACGAATGCTAGGCTTTAAAAATAATATAAACACAACAAATCTTGTGAATCAAGGCTACATGTAGCGGATCACAAATTATGCGAGTATTATTCAGCATAAATTTCAGAAAACAGCCATTAAGTTTGTGTGTTCTTAACTTAACACAAAAGGTTTAGTCGAATAATAAAAGAACTTCAGGGGGTTATGTGCAAAACCCCTCAAAAGTTAAGGGGTTTAGTGAAATTAACAAGGCTTTGAGATAATTTTTCTCACTACGCAGCTATGGACAAAAAACTTTTGTGAAACTTAATAACCTAATTTAAATCACTTGTAATGTGAAATAATTTCTCACTACGCAGCTACAGACAAAAGATGACAAGGCTTTGACACATGGCTGCCAGCCAGGTGCATATGAGCATGAAACACGTCGATTATATAAACTGGTTCAGAGGATAGATAGGTTTAGGGACGTTCGTCAAGGTGCCTAGTAAAATCAAGAAAACAGAGAGGAATAATGTATGTGCTTTTTTGTGTGCGTGTGCGCACGCGCGCTCCCGCATGAAACTGTAAACGTATCAACGGACTAAGAACATGAACAGCTGAAACGCGTGAAATCCAGGGAATTGGTGAGCAATAATACTACAGAACGGCAACCGCTGAAAAATTAAGACGAGGGTCAGGGGAGGATCTGTGAACGCGTTCTTTCCACGCGTCTTGTGGGGTCTACCACGTAAATGAGACGCGGATTCGTTTCCGCGGAACCGAGGTGAAGCCGGCCCACGAACCGCACTGCTGCATATATATAAACATTTGTTTATTAGGTTTTTTGGAGCGGAGGAGGCAGTACGGCTACAGGTTTTTTTCTCTCCTTTGGTTTTTGCGGCTGCATAAGAAAAATAGTAGCTGAGGAGATTTTGTGTAGTCCCTTCTAGGGTTTTTGTGCATCTCTTTGAGAGGTATTTGTGAGGGATTTGAGAGTTTGTTTGAGGGTTTAGATTGTGAGTGATTGTAAACCCTAGTTGTATTCTCTCCCTCTATTAGTGGATCTCCCCCCTCCTTGCCCCGTGGACGTAGGCAATTTGCCGAACCACGTTAAAATTGGTTGTACTGCTTTTGTGTGATTTGTAATAGCTTTTAGGGTCCCTCGACGCGCAGTCCTAGAGCTGACGAGAGGAAGAGCTAATATCCTACTTTGATAGGATATAGGCTTCAGATTCTTGTTCCCTTTGAGAAACAAGAATTCTTATTGCGATCTGACTCTCTTGTTGTGCTGCCGAAGTGCTGCCGAAATTTCCGCTGCGCGCAACAAGTGGTATCAGAGCCCAGATTTCAGATCTAGGGTTTTTTGGTGGAGGAAGATTCAGTTGGAAGCTTGGTTCTTGGAGTTCTAGGCTTCGGTGGAGATAGCATTAGGAGTTGCCGTTGGAGATTTCGCTTTCCTCGTGTGGATAGGAGATCTATTTGGAATCCGATCTAGGGTTCAGTTGGCTGGTTCCTAATTTTATCAAATTTGTTCTTTCTCTACAATTTGGAGTTAGTTCGCAATGGGAGAAGAAGGTGAAAGCAGCAAATCAATGGCGAGTACAATACAAGTTGGTTTTCAAAACACCAAAATTAGTGTGGTGAAATATGACGGAAAAATCAACTTTGGTTTGTGGATGAGCGACGTACAGGATGCGTTAAATGCTCAGAATTTGGAAGAGACCATCATGGTCCACGAGAGGCCACCTAAATATGAAGAGGCGGTATGGGAGAAAATGAATAGGAACGCTTGTGGGGTGATCAGGTCCTGTTTGGAACAGGAGCTGAAGTATGATGTGATTGGGGTGACGTCTGCGATGAAGATGTGGGAAATTCTCAACAATAAGTACCTTACGAAGAGTGTTGAGAACCGATTGCACTTGCTGCGTAGGTTATTCAGATTCCAGATGTCCAGAGGCACCTCGCTTGCGGCTCATGTGAACAACTATACAAAGTTGTTGTCGGACTTGGCGAATGTTGATGAGAAGATATCGGATGAGTACAAGGCGATTATTTTGTTGGGCTCCTTACCGGATGAGGAGTATGATACCTTCGTGCTCACTTTGTTGAACGGGAGATCTTCTATCAGCTATAGTGAAGTGACTAACGCTTTGACGAACTACGATTTGAGGAGGAAGGATAAGGAGACTTCCCGCGCTAGTACTTCAGGAGAGGCCTTGTCGACGAGAGGTAGAAGCCCATATCCGAAAGGTGGTAACAGAGGGAGGTCAAAGTCTAGAGGCCGCCACCAATTAACAAAGAACCAATGTGCATTCTGCAAGGAGCAGGGACATTGGAAGAGAGACTGCCCGAAGCTCAAGGAGAAGGAGAATGGCAAGAAAAAGGGCCCGAAGGCCAATGAGGTGAACATTGCGAAAGGCGATGATTCCGATGATTCGTGCTTTTCTCTACTGATTACTCCGGAGGTGAACCATGTGGATGCATCAGATTGGATGCTTGATTCCGGCGCTACCTTTCATGTGACCCCTAGGCGAGACTGGTTTGCATCTTTTGAGAAAGTCGACGGGGGCGTTGTTGTCATGGGAAATGATCAATCCTGTGGCGTTTGTGGGATAGGTACCGTGCGGATTAGGATGCACGATGGAGTAGTCCGTGAGTTGAAGGAGGTGAGATTTGTTCCTCAACTGAAGAAAAATCTTATCTCAGTTGGAGCTTTGGAGGCGAAGGGATTCAAGGTGACTTTCGAAAACGCTGTAGCGAAGGTTACTAAGGGATCATTGGTGGTGATGAGGGGAGTCCGCAATCGGAATTTGTATTATCTGAAGGGAAGCACCGAGATTGGCCAGGTTGCTTCGGCTATTTCAGAAGCGGACATGAGCAGACTTTGGC